AATATTCATTCAATAAGTTCGATAATTTACTCTCCAAAAATAGTTCCCTCACAATCAATTTACGTCCTCATTTCACGCAGTTATACAGTTATTTTCAATGTTAAGACCCCCTAATAACTAATATTTTTACTGATTAAAATATATTTTTTTCGAGTTTCGAAATCAGTATTTTTTCTCTTTACAGATTTTCTTTCAACTAAATTACTGATTATGAAGGATCTATATCCTCCGAAATATATCTTTCTTGCTTCTTATTGCATTTACCCAATAATAAATTGTTTTATGTGGAGTATTTATACATTTCCTTTCCTGATTTATATCACCTAAGTTGATGAATAACTTATGTCCATATAATATGATTTTGTACAATACCCTCGAAAAAGACCACATAATATACAGGGTGTCCCTAGACCAGTGGGACAGTTAAATATCTTCTGCACCAATAGGAATTTTCAAAATATTATAATTCCACATCATATCGCATCATGAGTGCTATCTTCAGGAATGACTATATTTTATACGAGGGGCGCAAGGAAGGCTCACATAATCGAACATCAATTTTTTCAAATGGAACACCCTGTATTTCATTGCATTTTCATATTCTCCTTGAAGAGCTGAATTCCATGACCTAGCACACTTGGGGTCTAGCGGGAATGATTTCCGAGATATAGGGTGTGGAAAATCGAGATTTTTCATTTTTGGGAATTTTTTGTGTCAAAACTATTCATTATTGGTCGAAATGGCTTACATGTCCATATCTTAACTTTTGATTTACTGTCCACTCGTATTTAAATTAAACAAATACAGGGTGGTGTAGAATTCTCAGTTTCAGTCGGAATTCCACACCACCCTGTATTTGTTTCAATTAAATACGACTAAATAGTAAATCAAAAGTTAAGACATGGACATGTAAGCCGTTTTGACCAATAATGAATAGTTTTGACACAAAAAATTCCCAAAAATGAAAAATCTCTATATTCCACACCCTATATCTCGGAAATCATTCACGCTAGAGCCCAAGTGTGGTAGGTCGTTGAATTCAGCTCTTCAAGGAGATTATGAAAATGCAATAAAATACAGGGTGTTCCATTTGAAAAAATTGATGTTCGATTTTGTGAGCCTTTCTTGTGCCCATCGTAGAAAATATAGTCATTCCTGAAGTTAGCACTCATAATGCGATTTGATGTGGAATTATAATATTTCGAAAGTTCCTATTGGTTCAGGAGATATTCAACTGTCCCACTGGTCTAGGGACACCCTGTATGTATTCGAAAAATCTAAAAAAAACAACTTTTACCAAAATTGAATAAAATTAGTTTTGAAAAAAGGAACTATTTGAACTTTCTCAAAATTCTGTTGTTGGCATATGAGTTCTATCATAACTATAATAGGATTTTTCCCACCACATATTGTTTTCTGCAAATTCTTAGTTATCGACAGTTTTTTTCTATAGTTTCAGTTCGGAGCATCTTCTTTGGAAGAGAATTGGTCAAGACAGGTCTCTTCACACTGTTTCATGCTTTGAATGACAATATTTGTCGAAAAATAACTACAGGGTTGAAATCGTTAGTCATTTCTAAAGTGCCTGTTATACAGGGTGGAGCAATACTGTATATTACGATCCCACATCGCACCGTTTTCGAATAACATCAGGGTATCAACTGAATTTTGTTTCTGTCAAAATGTCAGTTTTGTGTGATTTCGAACAGATACGAGATAATATGCATGAATAAGTCTGTCTTGTACATTTTTTCTCATACCTCGCATGCCAATATCAATGAATAAGGTGAATGGATATGAAAGTTATTATTCTAAAACAAAATTCAATTTTTTTTTCGAACCATATACACACACTGGCACAATTAGGAGAACGGGCAAAATTTACACTAAGTTTGACATCAATTTTCTTTCGAACCGATTGCTCGATTCAATTTTTTTTCTTCACGAAATGTAGCTTCATTCTTCACGAATACATCTGAGAAATAATTACCTTCAAAAGATGAGTCTTTCCATCATATACAGGGGTGTAAAGAAAGTACGGATTTTTCGGTAATTTTTTAGACATCCTGTGGACTGAACCACTGATAATTGAAACGATTTCTCAACACCAAATTGGAGCCCAATCTATTCCGAATATTTTCGTTTTTCATTCATCTTGATATCTCAATTATTCAAGAAAATACAGAGTTTCAAAGGAAAGGTGGATATTGGTATCAATTTTACACTTCAAAACTCAAATTGGATCTGAAAATGTGTCGTTTCTTGACTAACCTAACCTAACCATGACTAAACCTCTACCATAGGAGACAGAAGCAGTGAAATCAAATTGTTCATTTTGTTCACCTCGGCGATATAGTCTTTCCCTGCCATCTATTGAATTGGTGCAGATGCGGCTCTCATATGTAATAACATTGACCCATCACTGGTCATTTTCAATTAATGCTACAGCCCTCGCCACATCAGTAGGAGTCAAATCTCTCACGTTGAATTTTCATTTATCAAATTTATGAATTGTGAATTGCTTGACTTTGACAATAATTAATGACATTAACAAAAGAGCCAACGTTGATTAACAAAAATAGCATTTCACCAAAAGAACATTGGAGCAACTTTTATCACCCCTGCATATTCATGAGAGTATTCGTATATGTGTCTTTAACAGTAAACCGATAGGTAAAACTGTGAACAATTCTCATCTTGGAGTAAAAATGCTCACCAGAAACAAGTTGAAAAACGACACGTTCTCCCCAGTTCGAGTTTCGAGGTGGTAAAATTAATACCAATATCCACCTCTTCTTTGAAACTCTATATTTTCTTGGATAATTGGGATATCAAGATGAATAAAAAACGAAAATATTCGGGATAGATTGGGCTATGATTTGGTGTTGGAAAATCGGTTCAATTATCAGTGGTTCACTCCACAGGATGTCTTAAAGAATACCGAAAAATCCGTACTTTCTTTACACCCCTGTATATGATATAAAGACGAATCGTTTGGAGGTGGTCATTTCTCAGATGTATTCGTGAAGAATGAAGCTAAAATTCGTGAAAAACAAATTTGAATCGAGTGATCGGTTCGAGAGAAAATTGATGTCAAACTTAGTGTAAATTTTACCCGTTCCCCTAATTGTGCCAGTGTGTGTATTTATATGTATTTGAATAAAAACCCAGTGACTTGGAATCTACGCCACTGTTAATCAGATGTATTGTTTACAATGTGATGCATTGACCTCAAAAGGTGGATAGCTGGATTGGATACATTACGATTCGACTGATTGATGATAAAAACGTGCGTGAGGAAATTGTTATGGGAGCAGCAAAGATCAAAGAAAGGCGAGGGGAAAGATCAAAGGACGATTTATTGGACGGATGTTTTATGCTTTCATCATATCGTATCATTGTTGACTAGTTGACTTTGATATATTTCTTCTTCTTTGCTGTTGTTTCTGGTCGCTGAAAGGGCTATGTGTACAGAAATCTTCATAGAACATGTCGCAGTCGATTGATGTAAACATAAAATCTTATTGCAGGCATAGATTTTGCAGGGTTCCATTTACCTAGGGAGACCAGACCTACTCTATTTATAGTACAAGTATATACCTACCCTTTTTCGAGGCTGATCTCCTCGTAGTCTATCTTTTTCCATTTGGGAGGTTAATGTCCTTCTTTTTGAAGTCCCGTAGACGACACATATACACTACACTGTTTTACCACTAACCAAACCGATTTTTTAACGCCTCGACACGTGTTTCGCTAACATAGTTATCGGTTTGGTTAGTGGTAAAACAGTGTAGTGTATTATCGTGCCAGAGGTTCCAGTCTTCGATATACGACATATATTATAGTCAAAATTGTATCAAGGATATTAGTATAATAAGGAATATGAAAAAACTCAGAAAAGATCAGGAAAGAAAGAAATATGATTCATCACTCGTAAATCGATGTCATCCGATGTTCTCTGGTTCTTTCAATAATTTAAGGTTCTGTGCTTTCTGCTCTATGTCTATGACTCTGTACCCTGTGTCCCTGGGTGTTCCTGTCCAGTTACTAAAGCCCGGTTTCACCAACGGATTTAATCTCAGTTTTGGAGTTAACTGACAGATTATGATTGATTCAAACCGCCAGCGCCGCTTTTTTCATTCATATCATAATACCTAATACTGATATACTAACTACTATAATATACATATAATATAATACTGATACTTCATTTTTAGAATCTGGTCACTCTATATTCCCCAAAATCAAAGTGTATGTACAGACGTAGGTAACACCTAACATCTTAGCGTATAGATACCTACGTGTATTATGTTTATGTTCTATTCTATTAGGATTCTATTTATGAATGTATCATTCTTATTTTATATCGTATGTGTTTGAAAGCAATACCTACGTACAACACTGGTATTTGATACTTTCATAATGAATACCAATCTCCATACTCAGCCATATTTGGAATATATCGAAGAATGAACCCTATTAACACCTCAGCACTGGGAAAATAGGTTTCCTCGAGGGTTTCCTGAATGAAAGCATCGAATTATTTAATACTATACTCGAGAGAATAAAAAAATTTCAAGAAGTGAATGTTTTCAAAAGTCAAGAATTGCCGAATGGTAAACATTTTTTGAAAAATCGAACACTTTCAAGGTATTCTAATGTTTTCAAACTACTTTATAATAATTCATATTTTCTCAAAGATTTCTTATTATGAAATTAGTATATCAATATTCTAAGGGTATGCAAATACTCACAACAAATTTTCAAAACATCAACTGGAGTTATTGCGAGAAAAAATAGAAATACTGGAAAAAACTGAACTATAAATATTTCCCAACAAGTACTAATTTGGAAGTATAATAATGTATAAATATAACAACTTGTGCCACAAAAGAATGCAATAAGTGAAACCCATTGAGGTTCATTTTACTATTTCACGAATATTGATTAAAAAGTAATGTAGAAAAGTTACATACCTATTCACTTTTTTTTTGTTGCAGAAATCAAAGGATTGAGGGATTCTTCTTGTCCTCGAATATGCAAAGAGAATGCATATGGAGATCCAGTTTGCGGTAGCGATGGCATTATTTACCCAAATATTTGTGAACTGAAGAAAAAAACATGTGGAAAAGGTAAGAGTTTATCGAAAGAAGAATAAAAATAACAATACAAATTTTGTGGTCATGACCAATATCTTGCAGATCAGGAGTAACCATACCTTTGATGACATCCATTTCGATGCTTAGTATTATTATCAGCAATAACCTTTCTTGGGAGAATCACGTGAGAACAATTGCTGAAAGTGCATCCCAAAAACTTGGTTTTCTGTTTCGGGCCAAGAGCTATTTCACTTCCAGTCAGCTGCTTTTGATCTATAAGGCACAGATCCGACCTGTCCTGGAATACTGTTCCCATCTTTGGAGCGCAGCACCCAAACATACCCTGAAACTGTTGGATTCTGTCCAAAAAAGGGCAATTCGTCTCGTGGGTGATGCCTCGCTCACAAATTCACTCACTTCTCTGAACACCGTAGAAAAGTTGGTGATCTGGCTCTATTTTATGGATAATTTCATATACGATGCTCCTCCCTTGGCATTCCACCTAACCTAACCCGTCGAGCTACTCGAGCTGAGGCTATTCGCACCCCTTCCTGGTCACTTTGGAGACCTGCAGAACACCTCTTTCCAAAGATTCGTTCATCCAACGAACAGCGAGGCTCTGAAACACATTGCCAAGGGAGGTATTCCCCGAGGCATTCAACTTCCAGAAATTCAAGAAGAACACCAATTCCAACCTTATTTCCCTCAGTTCTCACGATGTTCTCTGAACATTACAGGATATCCTTCTTCGTGGAAACCATAACATAAAAAAAATTAAGAACATTTCGGATTATAGAAGCTGCGGACTATCCATACATGACTGTATTTCTATTATGAAATGAAGCTGAGTACCTCAAGGTTCCATATTTGGGCCCGTGTTAGTTACCTACTTTCATACAAAAAATATACCAGCTCAACAATACACTCTGTATATTATATAAGTTGATGAATAAGATAAATATCCAAGGCATGGATGGTAGAATGATTCTATTTTATTCTATTTGATACAGAAAAGAATTATTGCATTATATTATTCTGTAAAACCGGACAAATGTGGAATAAGTCATTTGGTCTGAGTTTGATCTAGGTATATGTACACCCCAATCGAGGCGAGCGTAGGAAGGTGGAAATAAACGCCACCTGGTGGCCAAAATGCAACTGGGATATCATTCAACAAAATATTTGTTTGATATAATGTATCTATGGGTTCTGTTTAACAAAATAATCTGTTTGAAATAACAGAATATTTCTTGATAATGATGTGTTGAATCAACAAAATATAATGTCATAATCAATTCAATTTTGTCGTATAGAAGAAAACTTTCGATTAGTTGCACAATGGAATGATTGTTGAATCATCAAAATATGATGTTGTACTTATCCAGATCTTTGTCCAAATTAATTTAATTTTGTCAAATAGACAAGATGCATATGATTGATTGAACAATGAGATGATAGTTGAATCAACAAAATTTGTTGTATGTCAACTGTAAATGTCGTTGAATGAATATTTCAATCAAATTATTTTGTCTTTTTGAATAAGTCGCTCATTTGGAATAAACGAATATTTTATTGATTTCGCAAAATTTTGTTTAATTCAACAAAAAAAAATTACCAAAATTATTTTGTTGGTGCAACAAAACTTTTTTTCCGTGAACAAATGATAAACAAGTCATTTGGTCTGAGTTTGATCAGATCAGTTCGGTAAGCATATACCAATAATTACCCACACGGTATACCTAATCGTGGCCCAGTCTACTTCGGATGGCCATTTAGGTTACTAGCACTCAAAGTCAATCATCAAGTCATCTATGAAAATTGAAAACAAACGAAGTCGACAAGCGACAACTCGACATTTCTACATCCGCATCCAACTCGAGATGTAGTAGGCACTACAAAAAACTGGTATTCACTAGAGATGACATTAAATCCTGAATAACGAGCACAATGAAACGCTTAGACGAATAAATCACTTAGCATGGCGCAATTTCTTCGGTGAAGTAGATAAAAGCAGTTAATAACTCAATCGGCAGATAAACCTAACGTCCGTTGACCTTTGAATTCAACCAAGAAAGCGTATAGTATAGAACGATGGTATAGAAAGGCCAGACTGATTTCTATTCTATTCTATATATGATTTTTTAATCTCTTGGAGTGCACGAAAGGGAATCCATATTTGTAATGTCCTAGGAACATGTTTCCTACCTCAGGAGCAGAGATTCACGGCTTGACTTGATATTCAAGCTACTTGACTTGACTTGACTTGAAATCAAGTCAAGTTCAAGTCAAGCGGAAGTTTTTTAATGTCAAGTCAAGTCAAGTAATTATTCATCAAGTACTTGAAAAATCAAGTAGTTCTATCAAGCTACTTGATTTTCAGCAGTTTTATTGTGTATCTATACAGCGTGACTCACGGTCGATGTTATAGGTGAGACGTTTATGGAGAACGCGACGCGGGATTTTTCTGAAAATTTCGCATACATAAAAAATTCCTGAAGTTGAAAAATCTCGATTTTTCGCACTCTGTATCTCCATAATCTATTCCGCTATACCCCGAGTGTGACGAGGAGTGTGATGTATCGATGAAATCAACTCTTCAAGGAGAATCTGAAAATGCAATTAAATACAGGGTGTTCAATTCGAAATAACAAAGTGGTTCCTACTTTTCTATAGAAGCGGCAACGTCGTGATTTTGAAAATATATTAGATCGATAGTACCGGTGATGAAATGTGAGATGCGAAATTTTCAGAAAAATCCTGCGTTGCGTTCCTATCATAAACGTGAACGTCTAACCACAGTAGAGAGCTTCTCTACTGTGGTCTAACCTACCATCGACCGTGAGTCACGCTGTATATAAATGATGAAATGAAAATGGCATCGTAAATCGTAAGACTGACTGCGCGATCGATTCAGTCAGCTCGGATCTCGGGGAACCCCCGTATTTTGTCTAAACGTGAGCGAGCTTGCAGAAATATACGCCGTGCGTCCTGCAGATCCTTTTTTTTTATTCAAATAGTTTTTCGAAATTCTGATTCTTATATTTTGAAGCATACATTTTGTATTTGATGACCACATCAAATACTGGTCATCGAAATCATACTTGTTCCCTCCTATCCATCAGGATTTTTTATACACGAATTCTTCTTTGAATTCTAAGTAAATTCTTGGAATTCAAAAAATTTTTTAGAATATTTTTCTTGGCTCTCAACATTCTTTTCCGATTTCCTTCTTCGATTTCAGAAATGTCATTCTTAGAATTCAGATATTCTTTAAGAATCCTGATTCTCTTCTTATTTGAATTCAGGCATTTTTCTCAGAATTCGGAGTTCCCTCTGGAATCCATCTTTGTCTTCGAATTTAGGCGTTCTTCTTGAAAACTCTATCATTTCTATTCGAATCATTCATTTTTCTGTCTTTGCATTCAGACTTTCTTCTACGAAGTAGGACATTTTCCTTCAAATTCAGGCTTTCTCTTCAAATTCAGATCATTTCTGGAATATAGACTTATTTCTTTGTGATTAAATGGGCATGTACACCTTGGTTGAACTTTTAACTCAAACCATGTTTATAATGATCCTTTTATACATAAATAATGATCGACGACATAATTCGATCGAAAAATTATCTGGAATGTTTTATTTTTGGACATAAATAATAGTACCTTCTGAAAACGGACCCTCTTATGACGTAGAAACCTCATCTCGTCATAGTTAAAAGAAAATACCAAACGCCCGACGGATACTGAGGCAACTGATATATTTATTCTTTCAACTGTGATCTCGCGCTAATTCACTCCGTCAGAAATCATGTATCATTCATCTCTGTCTGGAATTGTCTTGTTTCAGTATTAGAGTTTTGACGTCACATCATCGCCTCGTTTTCAGGGGTCCGAAAAATCGGGGATTTCAATAATTTTTTATAAAACGTAGGGAGCTCACAGCAAGAAACGGTTTGCGGTTGTGAGCTAGTTTTGGTGAGTTCTATCGAATTATGAAATAATTTTTTTTGTGGTATAAGCCCATTCCTTCTTTGAATCCATCTTCAGGCTAAATTACAATGTCATGTTCGTTCCCGTTGAGTCGATACCCCCCTGTATAATGTGCGGGCGATAAATGAAGGAGAATAGCTGCTACTTTCAATGTTTCCTGAACAAGCCTAACGGTACATAATAATGAATATTCACTTAATATAACATCGGATTGCGCCATGCCGCCATGTCAATGAAGCGAATCAATCTGTTACATTATTATCCAATATACCTACTTGATAGAACGTAATGGGCAATTATGCTTCATTTGTTCCAGCATAATGATTATGGGAGATGGATAGTACCTATATATGTTGATATATCACGATCACACGTCACACGAAGAGGTTATAGATCATTATACCCTTGATGCATGTTTATAGTTCACGTTTTTATGCTCTTGAAGTCTCGTGGTGACATGCTTTCATGTTTGCCCTATGTGTCCTTATTGAAATCCTCGTTGAAAAACTCTGATCTTCAACTCTGCAATACCCTGTATCTCAATAATAATGACCTAACTATGTTAACATCTTCAGAGGAGGATTGAGACTAACTTATCATTAATTTATTGCAGGTGTGACACTGGCCACAGATACAGACCTGTGCAAACGATCTTCCGGCTCAAAATGCGATCACAAATGCGGTGGCGAAAAAGATGCTGTTTGTGGTACCGACGGTCGTACTTACTTGAACAAGTGCATGCTACAAGTAGAAATTTGCAGGTACTAAATTGGTTTTATTGTTTTTTTTTGTTCGGGTTTTTCGTTTTTTTTTTGTTTTATTGAAGATACTACTTACTTATTATCATTCTATATGGTTTAAATATTTTCGATTTATGATGGAATACCCTGTATACAGGGTGATTTATTTATAGATAATTATTTGACTAATTCATATTAGAATATTCTGAGGAACCACCTCCTGAAGTTTGTCAACATCTCTTCAAATAAACTGAGTAATAAATAAAAGCGATTCTGCAAATTTCCTTTTATTTTTCGGATATTTCCGGAAATAATTGAAATCTTTCCAATTTCAAAGCAGTTTTTTGTTGAATATGAAATGGTGCAACTTTGCACTAATTTATCCTACTCTGTGTATTTCAAGGTTACCGAGATCATCATGCTTAGCCACGATTTTGTAACACCCTGTATAGTAGGTGTTGCCCCCTTTACGAGTAAGAGCAATAATAACATCAGGTTCGAATACGGCACCTCGAAACCTCGAAGAACCTGTCAATACCAATGTTTCTTTGATTAAGGTCATTAGTTTGGTAAAAGTTAGTCAAAAAACCGAAAATGAGAATGAAACCCTTGGAAACGAAGCGTTTTCGGACATTTTGTGAGGAATCACCTCCTGAAAGTACTTTTGAATCACCCTGTATGATAAATGAATGCGCGATGAGTGGAAAACGGTCCGATATCAGTGAATTTTTTTCGTTCTGAACTAACTGAAATATTTCACTCAATCTGAATTGAATTAATAAGTCAAAATGATAACATGCATTCTATTGAATTGAAGTGTTTCGAAAGAACTCATATTTTATGTTTACTGATTATGAATTATTCCCGTAAGATCAGACAGAAAGAATATCCACTATTATCATATATTTGTAGATTGATTATAGATTGTAGATGGGTCGTATATGCTGGGAGACCTTTCGATCACTGCGACCTAGAAGATCTATTGTGATTACCCCTATCTAGTTTTGGTCCTCTAACCCTAGACTTCTGATGAAGCCTACGATTTTCCTGACGGTTGACTTTTCCGCTTCAGCAGGGGTGAGATAGACCTGTTCTAGGTGGTTCAGCCTTTGGCAGACTAATACTTCACATGAGCAAAGTATGTGTTCCGCCGGTTTCGGTCGCATTGTTACAAAAGCGGCAAGTGTCAGTCTCCGCCAGACCCATCTTTTTGAGGTGGTACCTCAGAGGGCCGTGTCCTGTGAGAAAGCCTGTGATAAGCTTTAGCTCTGGTTTGCTGAGGCTGAGTATCTCTTAGGCTCGGTTCTGCGAATGGTTGATGAACCTTTTCGCTTGTCGTTGACCTGGAGTTGCTCTCCAGTAGGAGGACTTTTCAATTTCTTCCCATTTCCCGAGTTCTCCCTTTAGGTGACATTTGCTTTTATCCCACAAAAAAGCTCAGGACCAAAAAGTGCAGATGCTGCACCTTTTTTTGCAAGGCGATCAGCTGCCTCATTTCCTTTGATTCCTTCATGCCCTGGAACCCACATAAGTGTGACTTTGTTGCCCTTTCCCAGTTGCATGATTGTTTCAAAGCAGTCCCATGTAATCTTTGATATCATATATTTGGTTGTGGACTCATACTTTTTATACATATTTTTTTATCCAGGCTTGGCATTGAACTATCCCACTTAGGTTCTTGCAACAATATCAGCGCTCATAGGGAGAACTGTCCGGTCGATTGCAAGCAAGCTCCAAAAGATGGCCCCATTTGCGGAAGCGACGGAAATGTCTACAAAAGCACTTGTCAGATGAAATTGCTCACTTGCGGGTAAGAACACAATGAGTTACTTGATTTTAATATGCTTTATCCACTAGCAGGCGGTGAAGTGCACTTTATCGCCCAGATTTGCAGGCGTAAAGTGGTACTTCACCGCCCGCTGTTCTCAAGTCCCTTATATCAGCTCAGTTGATTCTATCCAAATAATTATGATACATGTTATTGATGTTCATCCGATTCCATCTTCGCTATAACTTCCTTCTTTAAATAGTTGCTTTCTGGCTGTCTTTTTTTGTTTTTTGTCAGAGGATGACAATTTCAGCTTATTTTTTTGGTGTATTGTTAGCACGATGTTTGTTAGACAGCAACCATCAGATTGATTCAAAACGTCAAATTAAGGTAGCTTTATACTGAGTATACATATTGTTACATATATCGAAGACTGAAACCTTTGGCACGATAATACACTACACTGTTTTACCACTAACCAAACCGATTTTTTAACGCCTCGACACGAGTTTCGCTAACAATGTTAGCATCTTCAGGAGAAGATTAAAACTAAATATCCTATACTAGTGTGCTGCTTATATACTAGGTATATGTTCACCCAACTGTGAAAAATACTAACCGTCAAGTTAATGTTTGTCATGGTTGAGTTCACATGTTAATCTTAATTTTTATTCTACTGCTGTATACTGTATTTAGTTTTAATCTTCTCCTGAAGATGCTAACATAGTTAGCGAAACACGTGTCGAGGCGTTAAAAAATCGGTTTGGTTAGTGGTAAAACAGTGTAGTGTATATTGTTACATCTCAAGAAATGAATCTCTGTTAGTGAACAGTTTCACTCTCACGATAATTGCGATATTTATGCGGTAATTTTGATATTCAGATTATACACATAAACAATGCGCTTCTCTTGAAAACTGAATTTATGAGTAACATATGAATTGTAGTTGGTTGAAGTCTAGTCATTACTTTTGACTCGGGAAATAAACCCCTAGTGCATACAATTTTTCATGAATCACGTGCGTAAAATGCGTTTATAGCCTTCGGCGTGTAATGGCCCTCGGCTAACGCCATCGGGACATTATTCACGCCGCAGGCCATAAACACCTACTTTACGCCCTTGATACATAAATAACTATTAACGGACTGCAATAAAGTAGGTTTCAGTTTGACCTGAATATGAGCAAGTAGGTTATGTACGAAGGACTCACCTTTTTTTATCTCTTGGAGCGCACAAAAAGGAATTCTTATAATGTTCGAAGAACATCTTGCGTGCCTAAAGGGGATTGGAAGAGTAGGTAAGTATTGGATTTTTTTTTAATTCAGGAGATTCTTGGAAAGACCTCCCTTGGCAAATAATTACGAAGCTTTCCCAAATAGGTAAATTATTTTGCGAATACTGTTATTATATATAGCTGATAATAATAGGCAAGTACGCCAATAAGTCGAGTATTTGAATGGTCAATGGTTTATATTGAAATATAACATCATGGAGATTTCCTTTAGTGCGATCCAGAAGATGAAGAAAAATATTTGATCAAAATATGTATACATTCGTATTATCTGTTACTATACTATATTCAGTAGTAATACTAAAGGTACTTCAAAATATTCAGGTCATACATCCATAACTTGTTGAATAATTACAAAGAGTGTCAGTTTGTATGTTGAACTCACACGATTTGTAATTATTGTGCAGGAAATTTGAGATGTATAACCTTGAATAGTTTGAAGTTCAAATTTTATTCGATGCGATTATTTTTCGAGCATTTCTGAACGATCGTCAACATTTTACGACGCGCTTTGTTTCTAAATTTCTGATTAATGAAGTTTCTCTATTATTATCCACGTATATTCCAAATTATACAAGGTATAACGTTCTGCATGGTTTAAAATCATACGAAGAGAATAATTCCAGTTATCTGCTCATCTGAATTAAATTCACTCATTTTTTGTTCTTGCATTTTATGGCGCCTTCACCACAAGTTTAAATTCATTGTAGATTTTGGTGGCTGCGTCAACCGTATCCTTGATTATAGAATATAATAATAATTATTAATAGGCGGGTTCGCCAAATTTAATCGAATGAATATGCGACCAGTGGTATTTAAAACTTTTCCACCAGATCTTTCGATTTTTTTTTAATAACTCTGACCCATTTGAAAAATACTTCATAAACATTTGAATTATTTCTCTAATAATATACCTACATAATATATGTCTAATGAGAAAATATATTGTTTTCCCCAATTTTATCAATTCATCTAACAAACAAATTCAGTGAATTGACTCTGATTCATACCAAGGCATCGAGATGCTTCAATGTTTAATGTAAATTCAACTTCTTCAATTTTAAAAAATGTTTATTGATCTCCGCGACCGTTAAAGATATATATTTCTTTAACAAAAATAATTGAACCTCATTTGTAATTGATATCAAAATCTACTCGGGCTATTGTAAAAAAAGCTGACACCCTGTGTGTAGAACATGCAGGCCCAAACTAAAAAATGATATCCCTTTATCTATTGGCTGACTATACTATAGAGAAATCCGAATTTCGAAAAATTTTGAAATATTTACGACAATCATCTTACTCAAATAATGTATTGTCCCCTTTTCTCAATGCAATATACTTTTTCCTCCTTATCCGTATTTTGTTGTACTCATTAAATATGTCGAACAACATATTATCAGAACTCGTTCGTCTATAGAACGCTAAGCTTTGGAATTATTTGCCAATGGAAGTATTCCTAATAGTCCCAGAATTTGAAAAAAACAACACCTACCTCCTCTCCCTATACCCCCTGAACATTATAGGAATTTCCTTTCATTCGCTACAAAAGATTAAAACATATACAGGGTGTCCCATTGGGAAGCGGAAAAATTTCAACAGTGGGTAGAGGGCATCAAGGTGGTTCTGAATATACCATATTTGTAGTATATAGGGCTATTTATCAATTCAATTCAATTCTTTGTGACGACATAGTATATTCTTTCAGAATTTGGTCCACAATTCCTTTTTCTTCTACCCGATCAGTCACGAGAAAAAGCCAGGTCTGGATTAACGAAAATTGATCAAATTTCTGGACCTCAAAAAGAATACCCCTTATTTTCGAATTTTCAAAATCCGCTTACTTATTTGGAGACTGCATGAAACGCTGAATCGTATCGTGAAATAGCATGCGAATGAAAAGTACACCATTCGATTCAGCTTTATGTGCACTTTCCAATACGTGAGCGGAATTTGGAAATTAAAGAAAATACTGGGATCCAAGAATATGACCAATTTTCGTTAATCTGGACCTGGATTTTTCTCGTAACTGATAGGTGAGTCGCTTGGATAGAAGAAGAAGCGATTGTGTACCAAGTTCGAAAAGAATATACTGGGTGGTTCGTAAGTTATGTCCTCACAAAGAATTGAGCAATATAGATAAAACCCTATATCTCGGATATAAAACTTGTGAGAAGTTTTCCAATGGGACACCCTGTATTATATGAGAAACTCTAATAACAATGATATTTTTTCTTTAGCCAAGGAGTGGTGAGAACGAACAAAAAATACTGCCAAACGACTCGTCATTGTCGTGAGTCCTGCTGGAGAAACGCAAAACCCGCCTGTGGGTCTGATGGAAAATTGTACACTAATGTTTGTCGAATGAAGTCCAAAAATTGTGGGTAAGTTCGATGTTCGATCATTCTTGAAAACTAATTTTCCGTCGGCTTCGCATCAAATTTGTGCTGACAGACTGTAAGTTTGAGGGTCGAAATATATCAAATGGGGCCTTAATTTTTTGTCGGACGATTAACCTAAAGCAAAATTCAATAATCCACAATTACAGAACACCTACTGGATAGGCTTAGTGTATCTACAAATCCCATTCAAATAATTGGAATATTCCGATTGTCTTTATTACCCCAAGAAATATTCCTGTTCATGATAGGGATACTGGAATACAAATAAAAAAAATGAAATTATAATAAAAAGGTTAAAGAACTGAATCGGTAACAAATTGTATAAAATTTGTATTTGCTATCAAGTTTTTCAATTGTCTAGTTCCATAACTATGGACTGTATTGAATTCATTTAAAGTTAAATTCGATATTTTCAATTTAGTCCTGACAAAATGATTGAAACAACATAGGTATCTTGAGTTTATATACCTACACCTACCTAACGATATCAGGTCCAGAAATTCTCTAGGGTTGTTTAAATTTACTGTTGGTTTTAGAAACTGTTCATGAAATTTTCACTCAATTGATTTGAAATTTCATTAGTGATTTTAAGCGTGAAATATTTGTACTCCCCAAAATAGAAATTAAATACTGTTAATTTAAATAAATGAGGCAGAAGTAAATGAATTTCAAGTATTTTATGGGAATGATATTTCGGATTTTGAATAGATTGCCTATGATTGGATTTATTTTATTTCTCAGATGGTCTGAAGAGGTGGATTTGACACAAATGGGTTGAAATTAAATGAAAATGAATTCGATAATGATCCTTTGGATATCACCTAAAGCTTTGAGTTCTTATACAAAAAAATATATTCAATCGGCTCAAAAGTCGTCCATTTTCGTTCCAAAATTAGCTCTTGAAGTTGACGTTTCCCTTACTGATAGAATGAAGAGATCAGTATGTATGTTGCTAGGCAACACTTTTAGTGTCTAGGAGCTAAAGTTGAAGTTTAACTCCTAGGAACTAAAAGTTTGTCCAATGAAAGCTGATATGATAGCTGCTTTGACACTAACATGCTCAAGTGACTCAAATTAGTGGAACTTCAGTAATATAGATTTAATTGGATATCAATTATTTCTATTGCAGAAAAAATTGCATTTTCCTCGCAAAAATTTGCGTGCTCGCAAACGCAAACATCGCTTGTCAAACAAAGTGTCACATTTGATCCTAATAAAACAATGTACCTACTATTCCGCGATCAGACTCAGCCAAAATTCGCTATTATCATTTGGGCCAGAAGAAGTAGATAATATTCGGGGATTATAAAATGCCACACTAGGTTTTTCTTATACTTATTATTGTCAAATTGTATTCCGATTTCAAGAAAAGAAGAAAGAAGATCTCAAAAATTCTGGAGAAATGATAGGTATTTTTTGCTATTGCAGGAAACACGTATTTGAAGTACCGATGGCATATTGTGCTACCCAGGAAAGAACTTCTCACAGCCTGACATGTCCAACAGGTTGCAAAAACGAATTGGAAAAACCTACTTGTGGCTCAGATGGTTTTATTTACAGGAACGAATGTGAGCTTAGGTTACTTAACTGTGGGTGAGTAAATATCATTGAAATGTTATAATTGTTTTACTATAGGATTTAAGTGGAAATGTAGATTGAGCGTTGAGCGATAAATCCTCATAATTAATACGATATTATGTTTTTCAAAAAGAATATTCATTTTGTGTTAAAGGTATGTACAGGATTTATAAGATTGTGAACAAGAAACAAACAAATGAAAAAAAAGTGCATTTATACTTATGTTTTGGAGCTTCGTTTCCTAAACAAAAGATAACAATAACTCCTTGGCCGATTTTGTTCCTCAAATTCTAATGTAGGTTCATTCAAGATATCCATTGACATTACTCGATAGGCATAACCAGTATAATTTGGAGATTTTAAGAATAAGTTGGTCTCCGGCCAGTCGATCACACTGAATTTTGGAATCATGAAAGCTTATACAGAGTGATAATGAGAAGAGGCAAATGATATTTCTCAAGTCAACACCCTGTATCTCGAAAACTAAACTCCAAAACATACAAGTTTATACGATCTTTGTTCATTATTTTTACTGTAACTATATCGTCCATCAAATTTTCTAGATTAGAATGTGCTAAACCCTGTGTGTAAAAAAAGTAGCGTTTGAGTTCCCCTGACCATCCCTGACGCTTCTATTATGTAAAATAATCTCTCTAATCCAGAAACGTGAAAAAATACAGCATGAGCAATTTGATAATCAAAAGTTGAAATATCCGATGTGACTCAAGACCCAATAAACTAAATAAAATTGCTTCTTGAAAATTTCAGTTACAAGGGTATACGAGGGTGTCCCAAAAATCAACGTCATATTCCTTGGACAGCTGATTGGCCAGCTCACTTCTGATAAGAATATCGTGTCTCTCAGGCGGATGACCTGAATAATGTATCGAACTGATTAATTAAATTAGAAAAATCGTGAATAATCGTGCAATTCTGGAGATAAATATATTCCTTTAATTCTAAGATCGTCATTTCATTTTGTGTTCTATGTACATTATTTCTAGGAAATATTTTTTCAGTTGAATATTTGACAACACACTTTTATTATTTTATTTTCTATACTCCTGTTCAGTGTTTCATTAGTTTTTTAAAATACTATTTATTACAAATCTCGTTCGACACATTGAATCTGCCATCTTTAATTCTCTAATTATGACGGAGGAATCATATTCTCCGACCCCGAAAACCCTCAGATACCAATTTCAAATAGAATCGCATCATAATTATTAATAAACTCTTATGCCGTAGTGGATCTGACATCTTGAATTTCCAAAATTTGATGAATGAATCATAATCTCCGAACCCGAAAACCCCCAGATACCAATTTTGAACAGGATCATATTACAAGAGTCATCCGCGATATTGGATCCGCCACTTTGAATTTTCAAATTTCGAGGAAAGAATCATAATATTCGACCCCAAAATCCCCCATATCAGATCCCAATTTTGAATAGAATCGGATCATAATTAAAAATCTCGTCAAATATATTGGATCCGTCATCTTGAATTTTCCAATTTTGATGAAAGAATCATAATCTCCGACCCCCAGAATCCTCAGATACCAATTTTGAATAATATCGGATCCTGATCTTGATCATCTTGAATTTTCAAATTTTGAGGAAATAATCATAATCTCCGACACCAAAACCCCTCAGATACCAATTTTGAATAGAATCAGGTTATAAATAATTACAAAACTCGTCCACCATATTGGATCCGCCATCTTCAATTTCGAAATTTTTCTCATGAAATCGGTCAAACCGTCTACGATTCTATTAAGTGCATAAAAACATATAAACATTAATTTATATACCTATATATATATAGATTATATAGGTCACACTGTCCCAAGAATTCAGTTTTCTACTTTGCCTGGTCAGTAATGAGCTGGGTAATTAGATGACGTTAACTTTTTCAACACCCTGTGTGAAAAATGTATAGACTATACCTAATGGGCAAGTAATCTCGTCGTTTTTCTCCAAAACCCCTATCATTTTGTAGCAACAATCGCCGCGTCAGCAAAGTAGACTACGACAAATGCCGCAACCGCCTGACAAAGTGCATCAAACTGAAATGCTCCAACGACTTCGACCCGGTCTGTGGGACCGATGCCAGGACCTACACCAACCAGTGCCAGCTGAGCCTGGCCACGTGCCTCAAGGGGGTGCAGTTCGCCCACGTGGGCAACTGCACGAAGCTGAAGGAGCAACAAGCGTGTCCTACCGACTGCGCCAAAAATATAGGGGAAGAGCCTGTTTGTGGCTCAGATGGAAACGTTTATAAGTGAGTATTTGTGGGTTTCATATTCACGAAAGCTTCCACTACAAAAAATACATATTTTCATAATGATGAGACGAAAGTCCGAAATATCATAATTCGGAGATGAAAGTCATGATTATTCTATGGTTCGGAAATAAGTCAGACTAGGTTTGCTTAGAACCTACACCAACCAGTGCCAGCTGAGCCTGGCCACACGTGCTTCAAGGGAGTGCAGTTCGCCCACGTGGGAAACTGCGCGAAGCTGGAGGAAAAACAAGCGTGTCCTACCGACAGCGCCAAAAATATAGGGGACAAGCCTGTTCGTGGGGCAGACGGAAACGCTTATATATGAATGTATATTAATTGTTATCAGAATTATCTATTATTTGCAGATAAAAGTCAGAATTATTTTAATTTGGAGAGAAAAGTCAAAATTATCATAGCACGGAGATGTTCAGATTTCATGGCCTGACACTGGTCATTTTATCGTTTCCATGTGTTTGGTATGAATTCCGCCAACTCTACTTGTAGAACCGATACTTGAATTCTCAGTAGTGGCACTACGTAAAGATGAGTGTCTATATAAGCTGAAGTCTGACATTACAAACCGAACTTTTACAACAATAAACTTGCTCTTTGAACCATTCACAATATTACTTTCATACAAGTATATCATTCTAGAAATCAAATCAAAATCTAAGAATCAATAAATAACGAAACCAACGAAAACCAAAGTACAAGTCGTGATCAAGCCAAGTTAAAAACGTGAAGGCATCACGACACTTCAACCAGGAGATTGAAGTCAGAATTATTATTATTCTATAATTCCGAGATAAAATGCGTGAGGGCATATCCTCAATAGGAGGTGACTGGCTTGAGTGGCTTGCTGACAATATCGTCGATAAAGACGAATTTTACATATTATTGTACATTCAACAGACAATATTATACCTCGCCTTCTAGGTTTTCATTTAAAACAACGACAAAGCTATGGGTGCCCCGCAGGTTTTAATAGCAGTGATTCATCAGTCGATAGAAGATCATTTCGACGAAAATTTTCTCATTTAGAGGTCATAGAAAATCCTTCTGAGGATTCGGGACATTCCAAATCAGAAGGGAATGCTTTAGCTATAAAGTTGCTAAGCAATCAGCTGAAATAACTTTTGTGGAATCAGAACCCTAATGCAGGATCAAATCCTAAAATAACTGAGAAAAATAGGATAAGAAAAGGATACTTTAGACCTATCACTCTTATCAGGCCACAGAGTATTCATTCAAAATGCTTTGAAAAATGTCTATAAGATTACAAATGATTTGCCAGTATTTAGTCCCAGGAGCCGTTTTACTTTTCCTCGACTAGAAGAAAGCCACATTTGGTTCTATCATTTGTCTCTTCTGGTAACGGTAATAGGTACCTACATTATCATTTATGTATTTTTTTTTTTTTTTCAGATCATCATGTCACTTGAAGATGGAAACATGTGGCCAACTAGTGATACCAGTACCGCCGCACCACTGTAGGGCTACTGCTTCTTGCAATGAGAAGTGTTCCGACGACAGAAATTTCGTTTGTGGATCGGACAACAAAATCTACAGAAGCGAATGTGAAATGAAAAGAGATAGTTGTGGGTAAGAACTCAGGGACACCTTAATACAATACGAAATTTCGAAAGTGTAACGAAATGGTGAAATGGTATAGAATTCAAGAACAGGGGATTCTCAACAAAATCTTCAGAACTCATGGAACTCAAATAAAAATGAAATAAACAATACATTGTTCTGTTTGAAATAACTAGCTCTGCTTGAAAATAATTAATTGCTGATACCTATTTCTTTCTCAGGAGTTGCTGCCATATTGAATAAGGTCATATACAGGGTGTCCCAAAGTTTCTGGGACACAGAGCTTTAACCACGCGTGTCGTAATACGTTGATTGGACGCAATTTATTCATAGGTACAATAAAATGTACTGTTTGTCCGCGAGACGAGTTCAAAGTTTTATATTGAAAAACACATGTTTTGTTCACTGCGTTCAAAAATAAGTGAATCAAATTGGATGAAATTTGACTAATGTGCATTTTAGAGGATTACCCTTCATTCGGTAATCCAAGAAACCCAAATGAAATTGTAGAAGGGTTCAAACCAACTTCACCCCCTGAATTTTTTCTCAGAACATTCTTATAGGGGTGGGAAATGTGGTTCTCAAATTTTCACCCTTGTGAAAATTACGTATTCGGCATAGTCTCGAAAGAAAAAATGTTTTTCCTCAATAATGCAGATATTCCTAGTAAATGTTCAATATCATTATAATAAAAAATTTAGTTGATAGTGGAAGCAAAGGCAGAATACTTTTTTTTTCATCAATACAAATGTCAATTCGTTTGTTTCCACTGCCAAATAATTGTGTATTACAATTTTATCAAACTTTTACTAGGAATATACTAGGAATATGTCTTATCATTATTTGAGAAAACATTTTTTCCTTGGAACTATGCGGAATACAAGATTTTCACAAGAGTAACTAAATGAAAGAATGTCAGGAGGTGAGGGTGGTTTCAACCCTTCTTTCATCCAATTTCATCCAATTTGTTTCACTCATTTTTGTACAGTACACAAAAATGTTGTGTTTTTTTATATAAACTTTGAACTCGTCTCATGGATCATGGACAAACGGTACATTTTTTTATATAAATAAGTTAGGTCTTAGGTCCAATCAACTTATTTTGAACTGTATTACACGCGGTAGCTTTGTGTCCCAGCAATTTTGGGACACCCTGTATATGTTTCTCATTGATTTTCATATGAATAAATAGCAGTACTCAGGTACTCCTATCAGTCCCAATATGTCCAACAAACGAATTCAATCAGTCTGGAATAAATAATGTATTTCATTCATAACCTTATAGTTTCATAATGATGATTTAATGTGATATATGTTTTCAGGAAACACATGTATGTGGTCCCGATGAAACGATGCATCTCCGGATTCATTTTCAAGGGTTGCCAGAAAATCTGCCCCACCTACTATGATCCTGTATGTGGAACAGACAACATGACTTACAGTAATATATGCTTTTTGGAAATCGAGAACTGCCGCTCCAGGTCTCTGGTAACGATGAAGCATATGGGAACATGCGCGGAACCTATAAATGAGATTCCCAAAAATTATTTGTACTGAAATTGTTGGATTGGAGTGTTTTTCAAAAACCATTGTCAGTAAATGTGGTACAGAATGAGTGTATAAAAAAATACATAATGTGGAAAACCAATAATTCTGAAAGCCCCATTTTACTTTATTAAAAAGTTATTTGAGTTCTATAAAAAATATGAATAGTAAAAATATTGAATGATGTGAACCTGTTTTGCTATTGTGTTGATTCCAAAAAATTCTGATTATTTATTTCCATTACTATATTTTTGTGCCAATTTTCTTTTATTTATAGTGTATTTTCGAATTATTTATCTAATTTTTGTCTAGATGTAATTACATTAGTTATTTATTCATTACTTTTCATAAGCTGTGTATTTTTTGAAATTGAAAATCTGCATAATTTTACAGATGAGCTGTGTCTATGAATATAAGTATTATATACTAAAATTAGGTAACAGTATGATTGTAACTTAATTTCAATAAATTATTTTTCAATAATGAATTCAATGTTTAATTCTCATCAGATGGAAATATCCTGGAAAATATCAAAATAACATCTCTATCAGTTATACTTATCTATAGTTTAATTCAAAAGGAGATGGAAATAATTTACAAATGGTTCAGCACATTTTTTCTATAATTTTCTTTGTTTCCTTGGTCTTGGAGGATTCCAAGAAACTCTAGTATTATCAGTGATAGACACAATTTCCAATCCTGAAATTTGTAACCCCTTAATAGCAGCCTGAAACAAAGTTATACATAATATAGGTATCTCTCATCAAAAAGAAATTATAATGGATATTCAATGTTTTTAGCAACTATGCAAAACAATTTTCAAATATATCTGGCCTGGGATTTTCTAGTAGCAGACAATGTTAATACAGAAAACTGGGTAGAAATTGCAAATATTACCATTCTTCCAGGTCCCAGACCCCTCACTGTTAATCGTACTGTTTTGTAGCCATTCTCCACAGCTTTCTGAAAAAAAAAGATTCAAATATAAATACCTATATACAATATTATAAAAAAAAAAGATCATACTGTCCCTATTGAAACTGCAGTTGCTTGAGCAGCAATATTAGTTCCTTTCCTTGCATTTTTAAAACCTTCAACTCCACAAGACCTTATGAATTTTGGTAAACCTAGAAAATATCAATTACAGAAAAAAATCAAAATTGCATAGGTATCCTTCCTCACCTTTGGCATCAGTCAAATTTATTATTGTATTATTTTTAGATACTCTGATGTTGAAAATTGGTAAATTCTTGAATGGGACACCATTAAACAATCTATTAGGTGTGTTGAAATCAGGGAAAGTATCAACATTCCTAAATTTAAAAATGATACCTATTAGAAAATGAAATTTCAAACGACTCAACAACTTACTTGTGTATCATGGAATCTACATCAATGGATTTTTCACCTATGGCCCCCTCATCTACAGCTGGTACTGATTTCAACATTTCTTTTCGATTAACGACTTCTCTATATTTGAATGTGCTTGTGTAGAAAGATCTAGGACTCGCCTGTAAAGTATCGGTAAGAGAAATCTGTTTGAATATACGGCAAAGTTGTTTCATAATCATTCTATTTGCACAGGAAGAAAGACAATTCTTATGGGCCCCAAAATTTCAAAAGTCGAAAGGGTACAATCATACAACTTTTGAAGAATTTGTAGGTTATTCTTTGACATTGACAGTTACACTGACACACTGACAAATGAAATGACGTGTTCCGTTGCCACTTTAGTTCTTCTTTCTTGATCCAATGATCAATGAACTCAATGAGAACTCAATATGAACATAAATGAGTTCATTGTCTTGATCTTGAAAGTTATAGAAGTTAATAGACCTTGTGTATAGGGTGCATAAATGATGGAAGTAATTGGTGCATAGAACATTGATTTCGATAATATTTTGATATCAGTATTTTGATGAAGAGACAACACTGAAAAGAAAAGAAGAAGAAGAGAGTGAGACAAGTAACCTAACTTTTTTACTTGGATTGGATCTGGATTTAATTTTCATTATTAATTTCACCAGAATTTACTTTACAATGTTTAGAATTTGAATGGAAATCACCAAATATTAGTGTAATTGACTTGCTGAATATTCAGAAATATGACTTCGATAATAAAACTTCAAGCCCTGTCTGGAGCAATGGACGAATCACCCCCTTGTTATCTTCTCCAAGTAGATGAAGTCAGAATACTCCTAGATTGCGGCTGGGATGAAAAATTCGATATGGAATTCATTAAGGAAATTAAAAGGTGTCCAAGCAACTCTGAACATGATTATTTTGTACACAATATGTCTAGCAATAACTATCATCAATCTTGATAGAAGAATATTAATATAAAATTTATATTATAAAATTTTCAGGCATGTACATACCATTGATGCAGTATTGATTTCCTACCCTGATGTATCACACTTGGGAGCATTACCATATCTTGTGGGAAAGCTGGGACTGAACTGCCCTATATATGCAACAATACCAGTGTACAAAATGGGACAAATGTTTATGTATGATCTATATCAATCACAGTACAACATGAAGGAATTCTGTATATTTTCTCTAGATGATGTTGATGCTACTTTTGATAAAATAGTTCAACTCAAATACAACCAAAGTGTTCCCCTAAAAGGTATTAACAACATACTAGCTGAACTTTTGATAATGTTGACTATCCACAGGTAAAGGCTATGGTCTCACTGTCACTCCTCTACCAGCTGGACACATGATAGGTGGTACCATATGGAAAATAATGAAGGTAGGTGAGGAAGATATTATTTATGCTAATGATTTTAACCACAAAAAAGAGAGACATTTGAATGGTTGTGAACTTGAGAAACTCCAAAGACCCTCATTACTTATCACAGATGCCTTCAATGCTACTTATCAGCAAGCTAGGAGACGAGGACGTGATGAAAAACTAATGAGTGAGTTGAAAAACCCCATTGTTACATTGGGTACTCATTGGTCTATTTATTTTTGTAGCAAACATTCTTCAGACACTTAGAAACAATGGAAATGTTCTTATAGCAGTTGACACAGCTGGCAGAGTTCTAGAGTTGGCTCATATGTTGGACCAGTTGTGGAGGAACAAGGAATCAGGCCTGCTGGCATATTCCCTAGCCCTTCTAACAAATGTCAGCTATAATGTTGTTGAATTTGCCAAATCACAAATTGAATGGATGAGTGACAAGCTCATGAGGAGTTTTGAGGGGGCTAGAAATAACCCCTTTCAGTTCAAACATCTGCAGCTATGTCATACTTTGGGAGAATTGAGTAAGGTGCCTAGTCCCAAGGTTGTTCTAGCTAGCTCTGCAGATATGGAATGTGGGTATTCCAGAGAATTATTCCTACAGTGGTGCTCTAATTCCAATAATAGCATTATTTTGACCACTAGGTAAGGACAGTAAAACACTTGTTCAGAAAATTCCTTCTAATAGGCTTAGACATTACATTTGTCAATATTTGTTCTTCAAAGTTCTAATTGAACCTTGTTTTCTGTTCATGAATAACATTCAGGTTATTTTGTAGGACTTCTCCTGGAACACTAGCAAGAGATTTAGTGGATAATGGAGGAGGGAGAACAGTAGATTTGACAGTTGAGAGGAGGGTAAAATTGGAAGGTGCTGAATTGGAGGAATATGAAAAGAGGCAGAGAGAACTGAAGGATGATGATGATATCAAAGAGTGAGTCTGAGTATTTGAACAATTTCAGAAAATTTCCAAAGAAAAATTCTATCAAATGCAATATTTATTCTGATTTAAAACTCTCAGGAGTAAGATTTTAAAAAGGAAGCACCAAAAGGCATCACAAAAAAAAGGGTTTGAAATGCTAGATTGTATCTCAGAATTTCAATATACAAGTTGAAATTCTGAGATAGAAAGGCAGAATTTTGAGAATGTTAGTTAAATTCTCAAAGACAAGTCAGGATTCTGATATTATTTCTAATTTCAAATTCATAAATGGTTTAATGACACAGTATCTTGAACAGTCTGTTGAATGCTCTAATTGATAAAACAGAAAATTTCCAGGCAAAATTCAATTCATTATCTTCCAAAACATGTTTCCCCAAGAATTTATTCATTTATTTCTTTTTGAGCTTTTCTCAGCTATTGACCAACTTCCTTTATAGTTTTGATTCCAGAAATACCCTGTATTGGTAATGATGTTTATACAGGGTGTATCTAAATTTCACTGAAAAAAGTAAGGGGTGATTCTGTGATGAAAATCAAGGTGGGTATTTGGTATATAACACAAAAACCTTTTTCCAGAAAAGGTGTCACTTTCACCTCTGAAAATAAAAAAGAATGGTTTTTCTTTTTCTGTATATTTAGCAAAATATAATAAACTTGATTAACAATATCTGTCAATAAACTACACATTTTCTAATGTATTCAACCCTGAAGTATGCTTAGCAGGGTTTGGAATAGTCAACCCCTAGGATAGTTTTTCTCACAACTTTTTTTATGACCATTTTTCTTCAAAGAAAATATTCATTAACTTCCTTTTTTATCTATAGAAATAGAATTTTTTTTTTAATCTTCAGGAGGGTGTAACTTTCCTGGGGAGAGGTTTTACAAAAAATCCTATACCCCCCTTGCATTTTTTGGTGTCAAATAGATATACCCTGTATAATACAATCCATAAAGATAATTGAATGAATGATTTATGGGTATTTACTATTATGTAATATCCATAATATTTGTTTCTTAGGGATGATGAATCTGATTCTGATGATGACATTGAGATGTCAGTGATTTCTAAAGGCAGACATGATATTGTGATTAAGCAGGAGGGAAAGATTTCTGGGGGATTCTTCAAAGTGACCAAAAAGATGTACCCAATGTATCCATTCCATGAAGATAAAATCAAATGTGATGAATATGGAGAGATTGTGAAACCAGAAGATTATAAATTGGCAGAAGTTGTTGGTGAAGGGGAAGATAACAAGGAAAATTTGTTAATCAAGAAAGAAGAAGAGGAAATCAGTAAGCACAATAATTCATCATTTCAAATTGGATGGGAAATAAATCATCTTCAAGTAGATATGATATTTGATAATTATGTTTCCATTTTACAAGTTTTTTTTTTGAATGATTTCAACATCCTAGTGGCTGCTGAAATATAACTTTGATTTGCTGTTTTTCACTAATATGGCATCTCAATATAACTTACATATATTTCCAATCTGACAAACAATACTGGAAGCTGCATCATATGGGCAAAATTACACTCTTACTAGGAAATAGTAAAAAAAATTGACATCCTTTCTTAAATGCTTGAGTTTACCCTTGAATTTACCTCTGACAGATATTATTTTTTTCACTATTTGAGGTTGTGCTAGGTTCAACCGGTCTAACTTTGGAATTCTTAACATAAATGAAAATCAACTTCAAAATGGCCAAAATGCTCAAAGTGGAATGAAGTTTAAAATCCATCACTTTCACAAGTCTTCAATAAAATGAACATTTGCAGATGACAGGAGAAAAACAACTATTTTCCTGGCAATCAAAAAACTATTTTCTTTTATTTTTTTATTTATTCAACAAAAGTATTCGAATTTCGACATAAAAGTCCGAATTTCTATGATTTGAAAAAACTCAAAACTCGTGGCTGTACTAAAAATGAATGGCATCAATCTGCTACAATTGTTTTTCAGCCAAAATCTCGGCAATGCCCACCAAGTGGGTGGTGCTGCAATGATTCCTCAGAGTTATCCCCACCATTCACGATTTCATTCATTTTTTTTTTTGTAAATCAACTTGTCTGCAACTAATGACCACTAACATGTTAACTGTGAAACAATTGATTACATGATGAAAATCAAACATCGAACAGTCAAGAGTCTTCCAGGAACTGAATGACAATTTCAAACTGATTAGTTAGACCAAGGATGTTTTTGACAGTTCCACTGAGGATATGTTTGCATCGAGTTGGGATGTAGTGTGTACAATCTAAAAGAATGTGCTTGATTGTAAGTTTTACCCCATTACAGAATTCATAAATTGGATGAGCTTGGAGTGACCCATTCTGAGTCTTCTTATAACACTTTAATCTCTTCTTGTCATTGATGGCATCTTCTGCACAGAAACTGTATGTTTGCCATGTTGGTATCATCATTTGTAGAGCTGCTGATTTAAAGTATTGGTGCAATTGAATTCGCTCTAATGCCAAGTAGACGGAACAAGTTCGTTCCGCTGCTTGGTCAGCACGTTTGTTGCCCATAATTCCGATATAGGAAGGGATTTATACAGGGTGGCCCACGAGGTTTTGGCCAGTCGATATCTCGAAAACTATTTGAACTACAATTTTGAATTTCTGGGTTTCCCAGATATGACACCTTTAGACTTCTTCCTCTGGGCATATTAGGAAGGTTTGGTTTATTCTACAAAGCCTACAAATTTAGATGATTTGCAAAACAAAATCAGAGCATCCTGCCAAACTGTTACACCTGAAATGATTAGAGCAGCATGCACTAGAGATCTTTTAACAAGATTTGAGCATTGCGTTACTGAAGATGGACATCAATTTGAGGATCAACTGTAATGCTTTTTCTACTTATTTTGTTTCGTTTCCTAATTATACTGTTGTTCTTTAATAAATTTTCCATTTTCCATTTATTTGACAGCTCATATTGTCACTGTTTCACATGAAAACCCTGACAATGATGGTATCGTAGTATTTGCATTAAAAAGGTCTCCACAAAAATGCAATAATATACAGGGTGTTCCGTTTAAAATTTTGAAGTTGATATCACGTGATTGGAAATGCGATGTTGCAATAAAACCCTCTTATACCAAAAATGGTCACCGCATTCCATTATTCAAAACCACAAAAATTCAAAATTGTAGTTCAAATAGTTTTCGAGATATCGACTGGCCAAAACCTCGTGGACCACCCTGTATATGTATTGCGATAGTGGTGGCAGGTGTCAAGGATATCTCGAACATAACTCGGAAGTTATCCCTGTTTGACGTTTAGGAAATTGGATGGTCGTCGTGTACTTTTTCAATGATCCATGAATGAATCGTGGTGTCTGCGGTGTCTATCTATTGGGCATAAGGGACTTGAAGGCAATGAAGCAGCTCACGCTCTTGCTAGGCAAGGGTCTGCCAAAACCTCAATACCCGGCTGGCTGGCAAGGTGGACGCAAGAAAAAACATCAGACATACTGGAACAATGTTCCAGGATAAAGACACGGTAAACTGATGGTTGGAACACTGTCCAGAAAAGTGACTAACGACATTCTGAGCTTAAACAGAAGTCAGATTAGACAAGTGATGGAACTAATAACCGGTCACTGCCCCTTGAGGAAGCATATGTATCAAATGGGCATCTATACAGACGAAACCCATATGCAGACTATACAATGTGGAGGAGGAAACTGCCACCCATGTAATATCTGGTAGCATTATACTCCAAGAGGCTTTTCCAACAAATGATTTGGTGAAGAGGCCGCTAAACTTTATCAAGGTAGCGAACGTGTTCACCTGAGTCAACAGCATGATCGGGAATACAATAGGCCCAAAGGCTGCAGTGTTTTGGGCTTCGAACCCTGACTGATTATTCTGCTAATAATCAATCAATCAATTAATATTGTTATTCGATAATTTTTCAGCCGAGATCCCGGAAATGCCGACCAAGTGCGTGGTGCTGCAGCGCACCGTGCAGGTGAACTGCCAGGTGCAGTACATCGACTTCGAGGGCCGGTCGGACGGCGAGTCGCTGATGAAGATCCTGTCGCAGCTGAAACCCAGACGGGTGATTGTGGTGCGGGGAGGCGAGGAGGCAACCAGAGCGATGGAGCGGCACTGTGCGGAGGCGGTGCAGGCAAGGGTGTTCACACCCCGGCGGGGGGAGGTGGTGGACGCTACCAGCGAGACGCACATATACCAGGTGAGGCTCCTTCCTTTTCCATTGCAGTAAACAGAGTTTAGGATTTCCGCGCGAAAGGAGCGTTTTGATTGCCGACTACTTGGACCACACTTCGACCCAGTGGCGGATTATAGGCGAGTCGGATTTCCCATTGCGAGGGGGCGCCAAACCAAGCTCAAGTTCAGCTGTATATGTGCCTCTGGCTATTTTGAGGATTTTTGAAGCAGGTCATAACTTTCCCAGTCAAGTTCCATCATAAATGGCTAATATAGAATTATTACCTACCAATATAATCAGAATTGAAATGTAAGGGAGAGTATACTTGTACAAACTCTGATCTTGATGAGTTCAAAGCTTCTAAAAATCATTCATATCAGTGATGTTTGGGATACATTTCTCTACAATCAGGTTATATGATTTTATTCCAGTATCAAAAATGAGAAGTTGTGTATTTCGTGAAGAACGGCTAAAAGAATAACTGGACTTCAGGTTACTGAGGAGAGTTTGATACCTGAAATGATAATATATGTGATTGTTAGGATGTCAGAGGAGGTATGTGTTCTTTTCGGTATATTATTAATTGAGGTTTTTGTATACAAGCGATCGGTCAAAATCATTCATATTTGTGATTTTCATCGGTCACGTGACACTGGCTACCAGTCGGTGAGGCGATTGGCAAACAGAATTTCTTTAAAAATCAAGTTTATGCGTGTACAAACTAAACGAATCGGGACTAGATGAATGCTACTGTGCCAAAACTGATGTCAGACCATCATTACGTTAGAGCCATCAGGCCTTGTTTCAAGGTCGAGAGAAATGGGTATACCACACAATTTGATATTTATATTTTGGTATCATTGAAATTCTCCTGTCTCAGCAGATATTCTTCATCGAGAACTTCTTGTAGAAATGTGTGAATATCCAGACTGTTTTTAATGCTATTAACCACCGGACATTATACCACAGTTTAATATTCTCTAACCCCTCGGCTGAAGCCTCTGGATTTAATCTTATTCTGTAATTTTCGTAAATTTTCTAATGTCAAAGTGGAATTTTCTATAGGTTCGTTTAACGGATGCCCTGGTATCGCAATTGGTGTTCCAAAAGGCCAAAGATGCTGAGGTGGCATGGCTCAGTGCTCAGATAGGGGTCAGGGAGAGTCAAGCGGACGCTAGAAGAATGAATCTTGATAATGAACCAATGGAAGGTAAGTCTTGAAAATCATCCATTCTTTGAGTTGAGTCTAAATGGTCCAGTATTTTTCAAAAGGATTAGAGGGATGGCACGCCTGGAATACAGATGAATCTCTCTTGAGTAGATGTTCATAAATTTTCGTTTATTTGCTTCTAACGATGGTGAATTTACTCATATTTAATATTTTGAAAATTTTAAAAATACCATAATTTTTTACTATTTTATTACTAACTTATAACTATAATCACGAATTTTTTACTCATCATTTCAAAGAAAAAAAACGACGATTTGTCTATATCGATCTCAACCTAGCAAAACCAAAACTCAAATCACATGTTTTTTGAAATTCTGTTGTTTCATCGATAAGTTACTAATTTATTACTAATTTATTACCACATTCGCAAATTTTTAACACTTTATTCAACAGGAAACACAAACGGCTCTGCTACCTTGCTGTCAACCTAGTAGGGCCATAGCTAAACAATTATTATTTTGAAAACTTCTAATATACCATAATTTATTACTATTCTATTACTAACTATGGCTATGGCTCTGCTAGGTTGACAGAAAGCCAGCACTGCCGTTGGTTTTCCTTGTTAAATGAAGTGTTAGAAATTTGCGAATGTGGTAATAAATCAGTAATAAATTAGTAACTTATCGATGAAACAACAGAATTTCAAAAAGCATGTGATTTGAGGTTTGGTTCTGCTAGGTTGAGATCGAGATAGACAAATCGTCGTTTTTTTCCTTGAAATGATGAGTAAAAAAGTCGTGATTATAGTTATAAGTTAGTAATTAAATAGTTATTAATTATGGTATATGTAAAATTTTCAAAATATTAAATTTTCAGCTGTGGTTCTGCTAGGTTGACATAAATCTAGCAGAGCCGTTGGTTTTTTCTGTTTAATGAAGAGTAATAAATTTGCGAATATGATAATAAATTAGTACTAAATTAGTAACAAATTATAGTATTATTGCAAATCCGAAATATTGAAGTGGTTCTGCTAAGTTTATTAGGGTGAAATAAATATGCTATCACCAGTTCTGAAATATTAATAATTTTCTAATGAATAGTAAAATGTTAACGTTCCTTTTTTGTGTTTTTTTCCACAGTGGAAGAGGAGGACCTCAAGATTCTCACCTTGGAGCCATTACATGAAGAGGACAGTCATGACCCAGTGTTTATAAACGAGCTGAAGTTGTCGGAGTTCAAGCAGATTCTGGCGAGGAACAATATAAGTTCTGAGTTTTCAGGGGGAGTTTTGTGGTGCTCCAGCGGGTCTATAGCTGTGAGGAGGGTCAGTTCTTTTTTTTCTCACACCAACCAAACTATTGATTTTTTCTACAGCTATATTGTCATTATTTCACAAAATCTCACCTCTCATTAAATGTCAAATTTCAAGCAATGACATATCTGTCCAATAGATGAGTATTGTACTTGAAAGAAAATCAGATGGCTACAAGATGAAGAAATCAAAAATGTTGCTGTTATCTGTTCCAGCCGTAGAAAAATTATTGTGTTCAACTCGCACGGAATGCTAATTTCCCACTCTGATGATTGCAGCATTCGCCTACGGTTCATGCTGCTATCATTTGAGTGGGAAATCACTATCATTCCGTGCTCGTTAAACAATATACTGTTGTGTATTTATTGTTGGTAATTATTTCTTTTCATTTCTCAGGTGGAGTCCGACAAAATCATGCTGGAGGGTTGTATATCAGAAGATTATTATAGGGTTAAGGAACTTTTATATGAACAGTATGCTATTTTGTAGTTTATTTTTAAGTGTCCATTGTCCAACATCCACAAATTCTGTAATAAATTATGATTTTTGTAAGATTAATATCACTTGTTACTGTATTCTGTAGATATATCAGCTATATTGAAATCATTTCATGATGATTTGGAGAAAAATGGGAGTCAATTACCTCATACAAAAATAGTTATTTGTTTTACTAAGCAGCTATTTAGATTTACTGCCGCGGCTGATATGAGGTATGAAGCTGAGGTAACCATTTTCCCCGTTGATGATATGGGAATCAACGAGACAGGTCCTTCTCTGGCCTTTGTCAAAAATAATTATAGTAGCTGAGTGGTATAGGCTCATAAGGGAAATCACGGTAAAAAAACGCGCCGTGTCGTACTTTACCTTGGTGTGGAAACAAATTCAGCATTTCAAATCGAAATTAATTGATCGTAAATTATTAACATGGATTAATTAATGAATTAATCGATTAATTGAACAAAAGGTATATGCCACTGGCTTGTGATTATTATTTATAATTTTATTTCTACTTCTTTTTAGTTTGGCTATCTATACAAACGTGTCTCATCAGTTTTCAAACAACTATTTATTAAAATATTATTTATTACAATAGCAGACGTTGTTTTGCTATGTACATTTTTTTCTAGAAAATATTTTTTTAGTTGAACATTTTATCAACACACTCTACTATTTTGTTTTCTACTTCTTTATAATTCGACAATCTATCTGGTTTTTTGAACTATCTGACTATAAATACAAAACTGGTTCTCCGTATTGGATCCGTCATCTTGAATGCCAAAATTCAGAATTTGAAAACTCGCCCGCCATATTGCGGATCCGACATCTTGAATTTCTTTCTTCCGTCAAAAGAATCGTAATCTCCGACCCCAAAAACCCCATAGATACAAATTTTGAATGGAAACTTCCACCATATTGGATCCTCCATCTTGAATTTCCAAATTTTGACGAAAGAATCATAATCTCCGACCTCGAAAACCCCCAGATAGGTACCAATTTTGAATAGAATCGGTTCATAATATTAAAAAACTCGTCCTCCATATTGGATCCGCCATTCTGAATTTCCTAATTTTGACGAATAAATCATAATCTCCGACCCCGAAAATCTCCAGCGAAAGGCAGGTAAGTCCTCAAGGTGAACACACTGTAATCTAGTAATAATCAGTGGCGGCGTGTCGGACATGCTGGGGTCATAACATATCCCCTCCACTTTCCCAATTATTTGCTTGATAGGAACTTATCTTCCTGATAATTGAATAATGAAATAGATAAATGGAAATTTGACTAACAAAGATTATAATCGCACTATCATTTCTCTAGTCCTCTACTTGGACATACCCATTCCTAGCTACCGCTGTTAAAAATAAAATACTAAATAGTTCGCTTCTACTGCCCTCTTTGAGTTTGTCATATAAATCTAAATTTGGCAGAATCCATTTTACGCTACAGAATTCTGACAGAGACAGAGGATCGTGATCGCGACGCGAGAAACGTTCCTTCCCCCTCTCAACAATCCGATTCATTCATCTGTTGGCTTCTCAGTAGGCTGTATCGTTATTCGTTTTTATTTATCTTAAATTTTCAGTGATTTGTGTTCGTGATATTTTTTCTCGGTGAAAAACGCGAAAAACTTGAGTGTTGTGTGCAGGTAGAAGCCCTAATCAAGGCTCCAAGTCGATGCAATGTAAGTTACACAAAGGTTAAGAGAGGTTAAGTTCAGCTGTGTTTATTTTCTAACCAAACAAACTGCGGATCGCTAGTTTTCAGCCCGTATTTCTCCTGCACTTTTATTTGGAATCGCTGAATGAAACCTATGTAAAGGATTGTTTGAAATTGGTTATTGAGTAATCGTATTTACCTATATTTACATTATTTCAATTTATGCTTGCTATGCTATTTTAGTGCAATCGAATACAATTATCTAATGTAGCTCTAGGTGCTTCAATTTTGAATTGGTTCCAATAATTCTCTTTGATTCCCAGAACATGTAATTAAATCAAGTGATTTATTTTATGTTACCTAGGTATATATGTTCGGGATAGATTTTGTTTTGGCTTTGCAAGTATCAATTATTATGACTCAAATCACTTTGAAGTTTGAGTAGGTAGGTAGCTAGGTATGTGCCAAGTAAATTCCCGATAAATTTCATTTTTCAATCAAAATATTTTGGCAGGAAATAAACAGAAAAAGTATCACTTGTCAGGTAGGAATGGTACATTCAATTTTTGTCAATGAAGATGCGATTAACGTGCACGGTAGCTAGCAGGTGGGATAAGTTCCTAGTACCTAGGGTCACCGAACATATACTATATGTTCGGTGCTAGGGTCAAGAGAGTAAGGTACGACAGGATGGGAAAAATAAGTTTCAATGAAATCATTTTTTGCAACGATTTTTAACGCCTCCTACCCTAGAAATTGATAATCACGAGAATAATTATATCTTAAAGGTACAATTACACTGTAGCTGGTGATAAACAAGTTCTTAACCTATCAGAAAACCACTGAGTAGGTTGGTGCCCAGCAAACACAGTTACATCACAAGAGATATCGCAGCGATGTACAATTGTGACCTGCGATATCGTATTCTATGTCATATAGTCGTCGTTGCGATGTCAGAGGGATGTTATTTTTCCTACTCAAGTCTCATCCATGTTTTTAATGAGGTCAAGTTCTGGTTTTATGACAGGTTATGAACTAGAGTAACGATACTAGAGTATATATGTAGCGAGGTATGAAGTTCCTTAATATCGAGCGTAATAACTATAATATGTCTTATAAAATTTACCTATCTGATATATAGACTGTGGTATATTTTACCTACCAAAATGTGGTACTCAAAGTACGACATGAAGACTAAACAAGACGATAACTATATCTGCCACTAAGCTTCTGTTGGTTTAACATCTACATCTCGATCTACTTTATATCAATAAATACCTATTACCTACAGGTCGAGCTACAGGTATATCTATAAAGGTACCTATAATGTTGGGAAATATGGAAATTTCAGGAGTTATATACATATCTATACTTGGAATTTGTTAAGGGTTAGTGATAGGGTGATAGGTGTCGAGGGCTGTGTTATAAGATAAGTATCCGTCTAATATCATTGGGAATTGTTATTGAAAACTGGAAAAGTATGAAAAATTATTGTCATCATGTTATAAGTCAGATATTAGGTTCAATATTAGGTATATTATTATATTCAGTAATACTTCTATCTACCTATCAGAAACAACTTGGATCATATTCAAAGGCTCTGTCATAGGTACAGAAATCATAAAACCATAAATATTGTGCTATGTACAAAAGGGTCTGAAGAAACTACACCACTTGTCTGACGCCAAATTAATAAAAATGAAGATATGGGTCATTTAGGGTGTAATAATTTCAGGGTAAAATGAGTCGGAACTTTTGAAACTATGATAATGCAGGTCCATTTGAGGGCTGTAGATTGAACTTGATTTTTGTGGCATTCGCCTATACTCAACTATATCTAGATTAATTCAGAGTACCTTGATGGATTGAGGAGGTCAAAAAACATCAAAAATATCATCAAACCCATTTTAGGTAAAATCTACCATACTTACTCACTATAAAAAAACAGTTTCTTGTTTGAAAATGGGACTTGATGTTGATGGAAAATAGGCTATTATTCTTTCCTATATTAGGTCAACTTACTATGCAAATAAATATGTTTCGAATCTCTGTTAGTATAGTTAGTGATGTTTCATTTTTCGTCTCTCGTAGAATCTGAGATAGGGGGATTCATATTTACTCGGGCATCTCTCATTTCACAACATCCGCTAAAAATTGTAATAAAACTCTGTAAGAATGAGGAGGTGACAATCACAAAGTCATCCTTATCAGTTGAATGCTTTATTACATGAAATATATGAAAAAATGTTTTATAGAAATCTCCAAGGATAATGGAAAACTCTGGAGGAAACCAAAAGATGTATCAAACTTCCTATCACTTTATATATAAGGTGTAGTTTCTTTGCCTAGACAGTACAAGTTTTTTGCTATGCAACGTTCCAAGTAATTTGAATGAAATTGGTGATCAAAATTGTCACTGACATTGGGTGAATACAGAATGATGGGGTTATCAAAACAAAATTTACACAATAGTATATCATTTCTGGATGTGTAATGAACGATATTTTTTGTTATACTTTGTTGAAGATGAAAATATTGTATTAAAATATGACATATAGAAGATACAAAAGAAACTTGGAACATTTTTATTCTCACAGTTGTAAGAATGAAAAAACTTGAAACAGTTGGAACTACTAGATCTGGATCTTATATACTGGTAATAAATTCGCGGTCGCTTGTGCCACACCAAGATATCGTAAATTTCGGATTTTTCATTCCGAGTTCATTTTGTCGGTATAAATTTGATTGTCAGAGAATAAACAATGCTGACAATACAGTGTTTGGCATGGCTGATTCGTTTTCATGCAGGGTTGCTATCGAGGTTGCTATGATTTAAATCATATGATTTTTTTCAATTTTAATCGTGATTTATAAATCAAATTATAAATTGCTGTGAAAACAAGTTTAACATTCATTATGTAAGTGCGAGTGTGAACAAAAACGTTTTCATGTCAAAACATTTTTTTTTATGTCGCCGAGAAGATTTTTTATCTGTGAATCTATATAGACAACAAATAGTTCTGGGAGAATAGGGAAAACAAATGTGAATAAGGGATTAAAAAATTCATTATTCTCATATTTGAAGAAAAAATAAATCTGTATAAAATCAAAAAATTCATGAATCAATTTTTTGCAACTCTGTTTTCATGGTTATTCTCTATAGGTATTACCAATATAAGTATATGAAAATTATAGGTGATTTCAAAGAAGTATAATAAAAAATTGGTTTTATAACATTTGTTGGAAAAATTATATGTCGTCTGATGTAGATCTTGAAATAGATGAATGTCAGAGTCCTTATCGATAACATGATTAGATCTTCATGTGTCATGTGAAGTACTCATAGCGACTCATATTTATAGAACCTCAGATTCATCTTGAAAATTAAATTAATTTAT